CCGACCCTTTCACAGGGGTCGCCTAAGACCATCGGAAAACGCACATATAATTACATATTGTTTTTGTGATTAATCACTATGCTTTAATTATGTGCAATTTGTAACAATGAAAATACATCCTGCATATCAGATATTTACATGACGATTCATAACAGTAGCAAAATTACAATTATGAAGTAGCAACGAAAATAATTTTATGGTTGGGGGTCATCACAACATGAGGAACTGTATTAAGGGGTCACGGCATTAGGAAGGTTGAGAACCACTGCTATACAGTAAATCATGCTCTTTTCTCTGAAAGAGAGGAAACTGGCTGAAATAAGCCTTACAGAAAATAACTAATTTCCACTTAAATAACTGGAAATTACATAGAGGAGTTTGGACAAAAAGTAAAAGCTATTTTTTTTAAATATAACAAGTTATATAATAAGGATTCAAGGATATTTTTAAGTGAAAAAAAAGAAAAAGAAAAACCAGTTAGATTTATTTTATATGACTTAATTAACATCTCATTTATTATCGATCAAATTTAGATGCATTTTTATTTTTCACATGAGTCCCCATTGGTGAAATGAATCATTTGGTCCAAGTAACAAAATCAATGAGTTAAAAGATAGTAGGTGATAGGTAGTAAGTGATTACCGCTAGGAAGTTCAGATAATTATTCAAGTTCTACTCATCTCGAGTCATTTCTAGACTAAATGAAAATACCTTCTGACTTGACCTAAGAAACTCTGAATATTTTCTTCCGTATGACAGTTCCCTAACGAGAAAAGACAAAGAACCCTTTGCCATGCAAGTGCCCAAGTAGATGCCATCGCTGAGCCAGAAAACAGGTTCTTACCAGACGCCAAAGCTACTGGTGGTGTAGGCACTTACGCGGACAGGAAGGTGGGCCAGGTCAGAAGGACATCAGGGCGGAAAGCCATAGGTGCCTAGTGTGGACGAAAGGGGCCACATGCTGACCTGACAAGCTCAGGGGAGGCCTGCATGGCAGTTGTGCAGACTCAGAGACCTGAAGTAACCACAAAGGATGGTCTGAAATTAAACCTTAACTAAAAGCAGTTATGGTGGGCAGTTACATCCTAGGCCGGTATCTTCACTGATAAGGTCAACCTGTGCCTTAACTGAGCCTGTCTGTCTTTTTGCCTCTAAGATAACATTCCCTTGAAGTGCCTGGGTAACTTGTAACTTCCCTTTTTATGGAGCCCCTAGGGCACAGCCAGGTGTGCTGGGCCCAGGACAGATACCACAGATTCCTTCATCATCATGTTAATTGTTCCTGCACCCCCCTAAGTATGTGTCCATCATTTTACTTTTTATCCTATCACAGAGGTTCCCCCCCGCACCCCCCGCTTCGCTTAATCCCACCTCCTTACATCTGTCACCTATGAATTTCATGTATAAATACGGATGTAACCCCGCCATTCTCCGGAGCACTATCTCAATTCGTTGAATTTCTGCTTCCCGGCATATGTCGACAGTTTGGCTCAAATAAACTCACAAAAATTCTTTACAGGTTTCAATGGTTTTTTTACATTAACACTAGCAATGGACAATCCATGGTAGGGTGGGACTCGCCCCAGGGTGACTTTTACCCCCTTGCATATCGCTGGTCTTGGGGTTTGGCCCCCCTGACCTTTCCTCCTGAGAGAGAACATCTAGGCCCCAGCTGTATTTCAGCTCCAGGCCCAGAGGAGCAACAGAACCCGCCACTGCTGAAGGCTGATGGTGGGACCAGCTGCATGGAGTAATGACCCCTGCCCTCGTGGCGCCAACCAATCAGTGGAGCTCACAACCCTGAAAGGACACCTGGAAAGATGCTGAATGATCTATTGAGACCTTCCCTGGGGCCCCCCTAAAATCTCCACCTTAAAGCCCTTAGGAGGGAGGACCCAGTGCCTCTCCCTCCCAGGAGCCATTGCCTTTCCCTTCCCCTTCCCTCCCTGCCCCGGCACGTCACCATCAGCTTCCTCTCTCCCAAGTTCCAAGGGCCCTTCCGTTACCTCTGCCACCTGTTTCCTAAGCCCATTGCTTCTAGGAATCTACCTCTGGGATTCACCCAATAAATGTTCTCTTACAAAAAAAAAAGCTAGAGAGTTGACTGTTACATTTTTCCTTTTAATAACAATTCTTTTGTATGCCACAGCAAAATAATTATCTCTTGAGTTTTTATTTCTATTGTTGAGAGTATTACGGATGTTCCCCCATTGCCCTCCTCCACCCGGATCCCACCCCACCACCCCCCAGGCCTTCCCAGCCGTATTGTCTGTGTTCAGGGCAATGCAGATATGCATGTAAATTCTTTGGTTTAATCTTTCCAGCTTCCTCCTACCCCCTCCTCCTTGAGATTCCTCAGTCTGTTCTATGTTTCCATGCCCCTGGTTCTATTTTATTCATCAGTTTAATTTGTTCATTCGATTCGTTGTTCATTTATTTTGATGTTTAGATTTGATTGTTGATGGATATGTATTTATTGCCATCTTATTGTTTATATTTCTGATCTTTTTTGTCTCTTAACGTGTACCGTTGGATAATTCTGGCTAGGAGTTAGGTTGAATACTGGGGAAGGTGGAAAGGTAATAACTAGGGCCATATTATTTTACATATGCGATTGATTTTCTCTGTTTCCTTTGTCATTTTGCCGACGGTACACAAGAAACACTGCCAGTCTCTTAAGTGCATTTCAATGGGTGACAGATGTTGGCCGCCTGGCTGCTGGCAGCTTGCTTGGCGTTCAGAGATGAGGCCACCTGCGCTCCACGAATGAGCTTTTCCAGGCGTCAGCGGGTCTGAGGGTACAGAGAGGGTGACAAGTGTCTGATGGACCTTCGCTTTCATCCTGAACTAAAGCCCGACCTCTCCTTCAGGCCGTGCTTTTATGCAGCTCGGCCCTGGCAGCCAGCTCTCATTTTTCTCTTATTTGGGGATGACTGGGAAGAAGAAAGGCGACAGGTTGATCTGTGGGACTAAATTCCTCTTCAGACTTTTCCTCCGCTGCAGCTGTGAAATAAAGGACATGTCGGTTAAGAACTAGCCTTGTAAGACAAACATCATTTATTTTCTAGAGTCAAGTTGCACCACTAATTAAAAAAAAACCAACTATGTTTATTGATTTCAGAAGGGAAGGGAGAGGGAGAGAGAGAAACATCAATGATGAGAGAGAGCCATTGATCGAATGCCTCCTGCACGTCCCCTACTGGGGATCGAGCTCACAACATGGCCATGTGCCCTGACTGGGAATTGAACTGTGACCTCCTAGTTCGTAGGTCAATGCTCTACTATTGAGCTACGTGGCCAGGCTGCACCTCTAAGTTTTGCAGAGATTTTCATCCTCCTAGAAAGAAAGTCTATTTATTCACTTAACTATCCTGGGTGCCTCCGGGGTAAAATGTTTAAAAACAGAAGGGGGCGCTACCGAAAGGTGAAGGGCATGGGTGGAAGAGCAGATGCTTTAGAAATAGTTGACTGGGCAGTTATTCATTCTGTCACTCAACTGCCCAAACTGTAAAGGATTGGTTAAAACGAAACAGAGCAAAGCAGCTTGCTAAGGCGGAGATACAGCAGAGACATACTGTATAATAATTTCGCCAGCGTCCAGTGACTTACAGGAAAATAAAATCCAGTGATGATCCCACAAATGAGAAAGGAAAGTTCGTCTTGGTTGGAATTGGGTATGTTTGGAAGTTATACACATAAAATGTTGGACTCATTAAAAAATCACATCAAGAAGTGTCTAATATTGTCAATCATGTTCAGCCAATATTTAAAGCAAACGTCAATTTGATTGTATGGTCCATGATGGGGAAGAAGAGAGAGAGAAGAGCAGATGTAGAGAGTTCCAAGGTAAAGAAAAAGACTGACAGGGCTCCAAGGTCAACATTTAACTACCTGCGGCCTGGGCTTGGATACTCATGGGTCACGTGACTGCTCCTCCTTCCCCCTGAGACCAAGTGGGAGACTTTGTTCCCCAGATCAACGTCCTAACGGCTGAGGCAGCTTCCTAAACTTCACCGATTTTTCTTTTTTTAGTTTTCTACATATTTTAATACCAGGTGAGGCAAAGCAATGCACATATGGGGCATAAAATAAACCAATTATAAAACTCTAACACTCTTTTGATTTACCTGTTAGTTTTGGATTATTTATACCACTGTGTTTTATCCATCACTTAACAAATTAAAAGGAACTGATATAGCCATAGCCAGTTGGCTCAGTGGATAGAGCGTTGGTCTGCAGACTGAAGGGTCCCAGGTTCCATTCCGGTCAAGGGCACATGCCCAGGTTGTGGGCTTGATCCCCAGTAGGGGGCGTGCAGGAGGCAGCTGATCAATGATTCTCTCTCATTATTGATTCTTCTCTCTCTCCCTCTCCCTTCCTCTCTGAAATCAATAAAAATATACTAGTATTAAAAAAAAGAAAGAAAGGTTGATTTGCCTTTGTTAAAAAAATAAAAGTAAATAATTTTTATAACAAAAACTCTGCTATTGCCAAAAATTCTTACTCAAACAATTGGTAGAATTGTTGATAACAAGAATCATTCACATTTTCTTCATTAAGTGCACAAGCTAACAAAATTATGGTCAAGTTTTCTATATTAAATTAGAGGCCTGGCCGAAACCGGTTTGGCTCAGTGGATAGAGCATCAGCCTGTGGACTGAAGGGTCCCAGGTTCGATTCCGGTCAGGGGCATGTACCTGGGTTGCGGGCACATCCCCAGTAGATGTGCAGGAGGCAGCTGATCGATGTTTCTAACTCTCTATCCCTCTACCTTCCTCTCTGTAAAAAATCAATAGTTGAGTGTCTTCCCCCTGGTGGTCAGTGCTCATCCTAGCGACCAGCCGGTTGGCCAGTAGCTTAGGCTTTTGTATATATAGACTACAGGCCTGGTGCATGAAATTCATGCAACGGGTAGGGTCCCTAGGCCTGGCCAGAGATCAGGGCTGATCTGTGGAGCGATTGGGGGAGGGGGCCTGCTGGGACCCATCTTGGCCGGCTTGGCACTGCCCACTCACAGGCCGGCCCTGCCCCCAATTGCCCTGCTGCCACTGCCGGTCACCTCCCTTTGTGGGGCAACTGGTGGGGTGATCAGAGGGCCCCCACTGGTACCACTGGCACCCGTCTTGGCTGGCCTGGGGCCTGCGGGCTGGGGGCAGCTCCTGTGTTGAGCATCTGCCTCCTGGTGGCCAGTACACGTCATAGCGACTGGTCATTCCACCAGTTGTTCCACCATTTGTTCAATTTGCATATTAGGCTTTTATTACATAGGACAAAGCAGCTTTTTTGTTGTGTTTGCTACCTGTTATTCATTTAGGTGCAGATGATACCAATCCAACAGAAATGGGATGGACCATGGAATCCCAAGTGCTAACTTACTTTTTCATGTTGAACATGACCTGCCTTCTTCTTTCCTGGAGAGGCGTCAGAAGATTCCTTTATGACCTCTGAGCCAATGAGCGGAAGGAATTTCAGACTCGTGGGGCTTGGTACCTGCGAACCACAAGTGAAGAGTGAGACATACTCAAGTGATTACTTCCGTAATGTGAATTCAGGGGTGGGGGATAGGGAGTGAGAAGTTCCAACTGCTTTAAAATATACTCCCCTTCACAGTTGCCCACTATTAATTCTTTTTTTATTTTATTTTTAATTAATCCTCACCCGAGGGTATTTGCCCATTGATTCTTAGAGAAAGTGGAAGGTATATTTAGAGAAAGTGGAAGAGAAGGAAAAGAGATGAGAGAGAGAGAGAGATAGAGAGAGAGAGAGAGAAATAGAAACATTGATGTGAGAGAGACACGTTGATTGGTTGCCTTCCACACGTGTCCTGACCAGGATTTGGGATCAAGCCTGAAATGGAGGTACATGCTCTTGACTGAAATAAAACCCAGGACCCTTCAGTCCGAAGGCTGATGCTCTATCCACTGAGACCCACGGGCTAGGGCCCCACTATTAATTCTTAATAGTTCACCCTCAACATCAACCTGCAGCTTAAGAGTTTGATACTCATCACAATGAAGGCGTTTTGGGCAAGGAGGGGTAACATTTCAAGAAATAATAAGTTAGAATTAAGTTGAAATATTTTATCTTCATGTTATTACTCTCGGTTAACCGATTGGTTCTTTGATTTGACAGAAGTGATCTGGAATGGAGACCTGAAGGATGAGGGGGGATTTGGAGGGAAACAAGAGGCGGATGAATTCTGGGCAGCGGGGCAGCACGGGCAAAGTCACTGAGGAGGGAGGAATGCTGATGCTTAAGGAGCAGCAAGTAGTCTGGCTCAGCTGGAGGATAGGGGTCATGGGAGAAGGTGGTGGAAATGAGGGCACGCAGGTCAGGCGGGGGCCAGAGCATGACAGGTGTGTGTGCCAGGCTAAATGATAACGAAGAGCTGGGATAAAGCTCAAAGCAGTTCCCTGTGGGGTTGTTCCACGGGGAAGGCAGAGGTAAGTGATCAAGGCCGCCGCCACACAGACCGAAGGCCTCTCGGGGTCGGACACAGCCTGGTGATGGAGACATCAGTCAGCCCAGTGGTGTGGATTTTCTCCGACCTGGCTTGGGAGCCCAGGGTCGGGAATGAGATGTGAGATTCCCTACTGTCCCGTCACCACTCCAGTCCTGAAAGCATTCAACTCACCCTGTATATGGGCAGAGAACCAAAAATAATCCCCGCCTCTCTGTTTTCAGTCAAGTAACTTTCCAAGGCATACTTTCGAATCTGCAAAACAGAGGAGCGGATGTTTAATGAAAAGGGGACATTCCGTAAGCGGCAAAATTCCTGGGTTCAAATGGACTCTGCCACTTCTTAGCTGCAGGGCCTTAGGCAAGCTTTTGCCATTTTCCTAAAAATTTATTTTTTATTGATTTTAGAGAGGAAAGGAGAGGGAGAGAGAGATAGAAACATCAATGATGAGAGAGAATCATTGATTGGCTGCCTCCTGCATGCCCCACACTGGGGATCAAGCCCACAACTGGGGCATGTGCCCTGACCAGGACTCACACCATGACCCCCTGGTTCACAGATTGACGCTCAACCACTGACTCACACTGGCCGAGCCCAGGTCTGACTTCTGACTTACAGAACAGTCAAGTGATAAATGTGTTGTTTAAACCACTTAGTTTATAGTAATCTATCATAGCAGCAATAGCAAATTGATATACTGTACATATGATAATTCAGGATAACTACAGTATTCTTGTTGGGTGTTTAAGAATTACCTTGGGAGAAGAAAGAGACTTGAAAAACTTAAAATCATGCTCCACTTTAAAGGGCTTGGAAGGCGTCCGTTTGAAAAGCAAAGCCATGGAGCTCAGTCTCTGCCACCTGCACAAGAGGACATAAGAAAAGCTGTTACGCACCTATCCACACCTTTCCCCATCTGGGTCCCAAACCCCCCGGCTCCCATGGCACCAGCCCTAACGATGCCACCTCTGTGTGTAAGTCTTATTCCCTTTGGCTTCCCAGATTTCTCTCCAGGCGAACAAAAGCGATTTCTACTAGACCTGAGCATTCCGTGCTGCTAAATTCATTATATAGCCATTGGGAAAAGTACTGCACAGTAAGGATGAGGAAACCTTAGGTACCAAACCAATGCTTGATATTTGGGTGACTCAGGGAAGCTTCTACTTAGTTAAAACTTACTTTTGCATATGTTTAAAAAGCCATAACTAAGCATTGAAAACATCCTATGTAATAAAAGGCTAATATGCAAATAGACTGGATGGCGGAAAGACCGGTTGCTATGATGCGCACTGACCACCAGGGGGCAGACGCTCAACACAGGAGCTGCTCCCTGGTGGTCAGTGTGCTCCCACAGCGGGAGTGCCGCTCAGCCAGAAGCTGGGCTCATGACTGGCGAGCGCAGTGGCAGGAGCCTCTCCCTCCTCTGTGGCAGCGCTAAGGACTCCTCAGCAGACTTCCCTCGAGGGGTCCTGGACTGTGAGAGGGCACAGGCCAGGCTGAGGGACCCTCCACCAGTGCATGAATGTCGTGCACCGGGCCTCTAGTTTAAAAAAACCACATCCCACAGGCATCTTAGACTTCAACCTGTCCAAAACCAAACTCAGTATCTTTTTTTTCCAGTTTTATTTTGTGTTGGTTTCAGACGTACTGCTTAGTGGTTAGACAATCATACACACGATCTTTTTTTTCTCCAGACCTGCTTTTCCTCTTGAACATTTTGTCACAGTGATGTCAGTAAAGCTGAAAATCTTTTATGTTGGCCATAACAAAAGCTCATTTTGCTTTGGTCTTTATATGCCCCACATGGTTGAGCCTCCACCTATAAATCAGAAGGTCACGATTCCTGGTCAAGCCACATGCCTGGGTTGCAGGCTCGGTCCTCAGTGTGGGGCCTGCAGGAGGTGGCCGATCAATCCTCATCTTTGATGTTTCTATCTCTCTGTCTCCCTCTCCCTTCCTTTCTGAAACCTATAGATTTTTCTTGCTTTATCTTCTACCATGTCTTCTCTAATTGCTCCCTGAATGGTAATGACTATATAATAGTGTTTCATCATTTTGTGCCTTTGCTTAGGCAATTGCCTCTTTGGTCTTCTTTATTTGGATAAATCTTATTTGCTCCTCTTTGATTATCTTAGGAATTGATATTCTTAGCAGTACTATTATACTGAACTAGAGGCTCAGTGCACGAAATTTGTACACGGGTGGGGTCCCTAGCGGCTGCTGGCTGCCGGCTGGGTAATCCCTCCCTTCCCTTAGCCAGCCCGACCCCTGGTTGAACTCCCGGAGGACCTGCTGGTGGAGGGGACAATTTGCATACTAGGCTTTTATTATATAGGATTGTAAATCTTTGTGCACCCTCCCACTAAATTGCAAAATAATTGAAAAGTTTTGAGTTTTTCGCCTTTGAAGTTTTCATGTCCAGCACAGTGTTATGGTATCATAATAGTTTTATTATTATTATTATATTATTATTATTATTATTATTATTTCTAAATTAGCAATAATCACACCTTGGATAAAACTCATTGGCTACGATACTGCAACTGTGCAAAGCCGATAATAGCTTACTTCTTGTCTGGTCTCTAAAGGAAACCCAATGGCCTTACCTTTGCCGGTCAAATACCAGAGGATAGTCATATTTTTGTTTATTTTCTGTGAACTTGCTCTCTTCTTTTATTTCTATGGGGTACTCATTAACATCACAAGGCAAAATGAAATCAGTTGTCTGTGCGAGGTCAAAGGACCTTCGCTGTCCAAAGTACCCACAGTAATGACCATTGAGGGCATGCCAGAGCCTAAGGAAAGGCAAAAGATAGGGAGTACACAGTCACTGGAATTCAGTGAAGTTATTTTGTTAACGACAAGGGTTTTTTTGTTTTGTTTTTTTTTAAATATATTTTATTGATTTTTTTTTTTTTTTTTTTTTTTTAAAAAAGGGGGGGGG